TGAGGGTCCCACTTTCTCCACATTTTCTCCAACACTTGTTATTTTTCTTTCTCTTTTTTTATGGTCATCCTAGTATCTTGTGGTTTTGATTTGCATTTTCTTAATGACTAATGATGTTGAACACCTTTCAATATGCTTTTTGGCTGTTTGTGTATCTTCGGAGAAATGTCTATTCAAGTCCTTTGCCTATTTTTAAACTTGGTTGTCTTTTTGTTTTTGAGTTGTAAGAGTTCTTTAGATATTCTGGATACTAGTTTCTTATCAAATATATGGTTTGCCAGAATTCTTTCTGTTCTTGGTAGTTTTTTTCTTAATTCTGTTGGGTTTTTTTTCAGGTATAGAATTATATCATCTGCAAATAATGATTACTTTTTTTTCTTTTTAATGTTATACTTTTAATAATTTTGGCTAATTGCACTGGCTATTTTGTATGTCAATAATGGTGAAAATGAAAATCCTTATTGTGTTCCTTACTTTAATGGGAATGAAGATGTCATTCTATGGATGTACGCTATTTAACCGTACCTATACTATAAAACCTTTAGGTTGTTTCCAGTTGTTCACCACTATAAGTAAAACTGTTATGAGCACTTTTACCTAAATCCTTTCTATATTTGACATTATTTCCTTTGGCTAAATTCCAAAGCTGTGAAATTATTGGGTTGGAGACTCTTGTTGATATTCATTGCCATATTGTTAGGGTATAATTTTATAATAGATTGCTTTGTATTAACATTCTAAGGCATATACTGCACATTGCTGCACTCTATTTATATTTTTATGTGCAAAAAATAGAAATATCTTTGCCTACTTACCCATCTCCCTATATTAATGGGAAGCAGGAGGAGATGGTGGTTGAATAGCCACAGAGGCATGATTTTAGCTTTTCTGATTTAGGCTCAAGTTGGAAAGTCCTCCTGGAGTCAAAGTGAACTGATCTTTGTGGCTTTAGAATTTGGATTGACAGTTTCCCTTGAGTGTGGTGGTATGCACCCAAGGTTAAGATGAGTCACTTGTGGCTGACCAGTTGGGACAGGAGCTTCAGGACTCTAAAGCTTTATGATGGGCAAATAGGGCCTGGGAACGAGATGAAAGTTGTATGTATGTTTCTTCAAAACAAGCATTGTTCTTCTGCAAAAGCTGATTAGGTGTAAGTGTAGAGGGTCCTCTTCTGTTGCTAAGCTCATAGCTCTGAAAATCAGCTGAGACAAATCAGAGTCAGCAGTCTTTGCCAAAATGTA